AATGCTTCCTAGCCCATATGCATTTCAGTCAAACACCCCAGCCATTATTTAGTGCCACCAAAATGCTGGCACTGAGATAGCCAAAAATCACATCTTATTGTAAAAGCGCACGCAACTGTGGCAATATTCCTTCCTGCTCATTTCCACGTATAAGGCCTTATCTGCTGTTAACAGCGCTGATGCTGCAATTGCGCGGGATCTCTGTGTGAAAAAGGCTAATAATGGAGGAGCGTTCTGAGATGTGAGGAGAAGCAGACGGCGTGGAAGTCAAGGAACACAAGAGCCCAAGCTGGCAACGAACGAGAACAGGAGGAAAAAAAAAAAAGATGCTGGTTCCACATGTGAAAGCCATTACTCAGATTCGGGCTCCAACGCACAACATTTCTCCAAGAATGAAGCCCACCCCCCTAACTTTTAAGAGGGGGGCTTCCAAAAGGCCGCTGTGGTACAGCTGTTGATGAGGTAGTCTTGGATGGGAGTTGGAGGACGTGTGACTAACACACAGAGCAAACACTTCCTTGAATTGCGCTGCATTTAATGTGTTCAATGGCTATGCAGGTGTGCTTGCATCTATATTATTATTTTTTAAAGATGCACTGGTCAAACATTTTGGACTTCCCTCTCCCTCCCAGTACTCCCGTGAACCCTACGACTCTCTTCCTCCATTGACTCTTTCCTTTTTTTCCCCCAAAAGGGGCCCACTTCCTGTAACAGAGGCCGAGGGAAAGAAAAAAAAAATGACAGAAAGCGATTGGCGCTGGTACAGCAACATCTGGGATCGTTTTAGACGGGAGGGGGGAGGAGACTGGATGGAGTATAGGGTGCTCCAGAGGCAGAAAGTAGAGATGAGGAAGAGGAAGGATAGAGAGAGGTTAATTTCGCGGCAGGAGATGCGGAAAAGGGTTTGAGGAGCACTTGAGAGCCGAGCTGGAAAAGCGGGGAGAGAGTAGCGACGATCCCAAAGTTGATCCCCGTCAAGCCATATATGGCCGATGGCTTCCTCCCTAACTCTCTCTCCTCTCTATTTCCTTCTGCCTTCCCGAGCTTAACAGGCAGGACTCCAAATGAGTCAAAGTGCCACGTCGAGAACTGGATACTATCGTGGGACGCCGCCGGCTACGCTAAGGTCCCAGAAACGAGAAGGAACATCCCGAGGAGCGGATGGCGGACAGACAGACGATCGGCAGATGGCTCGCCGAGACGGGGATAAGATGAACAGAAACTTTTGCCGGCGTGGGAAGAGGCCACACCGCAGAGACAAAGCGAAGTGAAGGCTCCTGCTCCGTCATCCCAGTGTTCAGACTACCTGTTCAGGATTTTGGTAGGGAGGGAGGAAAAATAATGGCCATTGCATGAGGGAAATCTGGGGCGGCAATAAAACATGCGAGCAGAAAGACGAGGAGAGGGGAGTGGGGGGCGTTGGGGGCAGCTTGACGGGCCTGTTGTCTCTGGCCGGCGTAGAAAGCATGCAGAGAGGGGTCTGCTCTGCCCGCCAATATGAGAAACACATTGCGCGGCAGACCCTCGCCCAGCTCAAATAACAGCACCGTGCAGCCACAAGCCCGAACCATGCAGCTTCTACCTGGGCACGCAAGCTGGGCCGGGAAGCCGCTGGTTGGCATGGACGGGCACGGGCGGGGCCCGGCCACGGGTTTGAGACTTGCCGCCATTCGCTGACTTTTTCGGCCGCGTGGAGCTGCGTTCGGTGGAGAATTCGTGATGCCCCCGCCGGGTCTTAATGCCTCGCACGAGCGCAGGGAAGGATGCCTACCTGCAGTGTCGTGTGCCGGAACGCGAGAGGTCCGATTGGGCGGCATAGCTGGAGGTGGAGATCTCGTTGATGATGTCGAGCGCGGCCTGCAGGGCGGCGTGCTTGCCGAGCACTTGCTCCCGATGCTGCCGCTGATCGGGTGACTCATCCATCAGCGCCGAGCAGTCTCCCAGAGCGTAGAGCTGGGCCAGCAGCTCAGAGCTAATGAACTCTTTCACCTTGCCAGAGGGATTATAAACAGATGCGACAAGTCAAACACGTTAGATGCTGTCATGTGATATTTCACTCGGCTTTATGGCATTTCTTACAAGAGGGGTGAAAATATGACATGGGATTCTGCTTTTCTCTTTTGAGCCACTGGAAAAAAAAATTTAATGGAGTGGAACCTCGAAAACACTCCATTCCAGTACACTGGTCAACCTTACAATTGTGCGGAATTTGAAACAATTTGTCCCGCGGGAAATATAAATCTGTTCCACTGTCCAACTATCGCCACTATAAACGATTAATAACCAGACAGCGAACGCCAGACATTTGCGGGCATAGGTAGCGAGCCTTGCCATGAATAATGAAAGCCTGTGAGTAATTGATGCCCACTGGAGTAATTGATGCCCAATGAAGGAAAAAAAAAAAAAAAAAGGATTAGAATTGCCGAACGATGCCGCAAGATGCCTACATAGCACTTTTTTTTCCTGTCAGACAATGGCCCTTCTCAATGAAGCTCCTCCTCTCAGTCCAACATTGGTGATTGGCACTTAGATTTCAACAGATGGCGCCAAAGCAATATTTTTACGAGACATTTCGAGAATTTTCATCAAGTGAGAAAACAATTAGCCCCAGTATCACCCAGTGACATGACATGCGTATCATCACAGTATTGTCCTAAAAAGGAAATCGAACCATGAAAAGCTGACGTGACGATGGCAGATTTGTTCGGATAATTGTTGCACGTTAATTTATTGCTAGCGTTCGTTAAAAGAAAACATGGGAAGGGGACCTTGAAAAAAAAAATAACAATAATCGCAGATGAAATTTTTATATAAAGGGAAAAAAAATTGCAATGACAATTTTCAAAATTGTTCTGCGCTAGTGTGAATGCTTTTTTTTTTAAACTTTTATTTAATGTACGGCGCCCATTATAATCCATCCAGGGGAGTCTCAACCCGAAGTGGCAAATCCAGACACAGCTACATGTGCTTCTATTCAACTGGCAAACAAATAAGCACCCTTTTTGGACCTGGATTTGCTATCTATTAATATCAACGGTGCCTAGCAATCGGTCGGTCCATCGCACAGGTATCAAACTCTGGTCCTCGAGGACCGGTATTAGATGTTTCTCTCCTCCAACACACCTGATTCAGATGATCAAGGATCAGGCTCCCGCAGAGCTCGCCGAGAGCTGCCAATGACTGATCCCAGTCAAGTGGGAACTCACGAAAATAGCAAAATAAGAAATAGTGCTTAGCATACGCTGTTGATCATCAGGTGCATGATGGCCTTGGGCATCAAGTCCTTGACGGTCTTATGAATGATGCCCATGTAGGAGTCCACCAGGTTGCGGATGGTCTCCACCTGGCGCTCCAGCTGGGGGTCCGTGAAGTTCTCAGACAGGCCGTTGGCCTGCATGTCCACCTGGGCGACGCACACAAAATCATCAGTGAGTGATTGTCACATGTGCACACAAAGATAACTGCAAGTGCGCGAGAAGGAGCCGAACACCATTAGCTGGGACGGAGAAAGCAAAAATGGAGGGGAGGTACACGGGGGAGTGGGCAGGAGGAAGAAAAAAAAAAGGGGGGTGAAGAGACGGGGATCTGCTGATTAGAACCAGACTGGAACACACACGCATTGAAGTGACATCACTGGCCAAGAATTTGCGCCGAGGAGCCAACGACAAAGCGAGATGCGAGATGGGGAGTGGGGGGG